GAATTGAGTTGTTGATTAACAAATCAAATTTTTCAGGGCACTAAATATACAGACATCACTTGCAAGTAAGGCTAATCCTGGGAATTCGAGGATGGCTCAAAATCATAAAATCTGTCAATTAAAAGATAAACTCCAAATGACCATCTCAAAAGGTAGAGAAAAAGCATTTGATAAAAATCCATGGTCTAGGGAAAAAATACTCTTGGCAAATTAGGAATAGAAGGGAACTTTCCTTAAGCTTATAATTCCCAAAGGTATACATAATATAAAAACATCTATACAANGAATTGAGTTGTTGATTAACAAATCAAATTTTTCAGGGCACTAAATATACAGACATCACTTCCAAGTAAGGCTAATCCTGGGAATTCAAGGATGGCTCAAAATCATAAAATCTGTCAATTAAAAGATAAACTCCAAATGACCATCTCAAAAGGTAGAGAAAAAGCATTTGATAAAATCCATGGTCTAGGGAAAAAATACTCTTGGCAAATTAGGAATAGATGGGAACTTTCCTTAAGCTTATAATTCCCAAAGGTATACATAATATAAAAACATCTATACAAATATCATGCCTAACCACAAAATTCCAGAAGCATGCCTATAAAATTCACTGTCTTACATTGTCAAGCAGAAACATGCAGGAATGTTGGGTATAGGACTGTTTGGAATTGCAAAAATTTGGGAACATTCTAAATGCTTGTTAACCAGAAAGCAGGTAACTAGTATACTCTTCAGCTGGCACCACACAGCAGTTCACATGAATGGCATGGACTTACACGTGTCAATGGAAAAAGCAAGTCACGGCAGCCTAGGCGTAGTGCGGTGTCATTGATAAAAAGTTTTAAGACATTCAAAGCAATAACTCAATGTTTGTGCATGCATGTAAATGTCCTGCAAGTGGAAGTTTAGGAATGTGCTTATCTCTGGGGAGAGGAGGGAGGGAAATGTGATCAGAGATAGACATGGAGTTGCAACTGTATCTGCAACGTTTTGTTTCTTTAAAAAATGACCTACAGGGCCGGCCCGGTGGTGCACTCGGTAGAGTGCGGCGCTTGGGAGCGCAGCGGCGCTCCCGCCGAGGGTTTGGATCCCGTATAGAGACCGGTCCGCTCACTGGCTGAGCACGGTACGGGCGCAACACCGAGGGTTGCGATCCCATTACCGGTCACGAAAAAAAAAAAGACAAAAAGGAAAAAAATAAAAAATGACCTACAGCAAATATTCCAAAAATCCTGAGATTTCTTAAAGTTTGTCGGTGGATGCACAGATGGTCATTACATTGTTGTTATTTAAAGTTTGAAATACAGCGTAATGGGGGAGAGATGGAGACCTTAAAAGAAAGAGGAAGAGGGAGAAAATCAGAGGTTGAGAATTTAGTTCTTCTCCTAGAAAGCAGCATAATCACAAAACGGGCTTTTGAAGTTAAGGAAGCTGCTGAACAAAAAATCAGAAACATGCAGTGTAGACATATGCCAGTCCCGCCTCCACGCACCTCCAGCCGGTGGCCTGTGGGCGCTGCACGGCTCCCTCCATGGCCTCCCGAACTCGCCCTGCCCGATCAACCTCAGCCTTCCCTCCTTGCTAATGACTCCTCGTCACCGNAAATTTGGGAACATTCTAAATGCTTGTTAACCAGAAAGCAGGTAACTAGTATACTCTTCAGATGGCACCACACAGCAGTTCACATGAATGGCATGGACTTACACGTATCAATGGAAAAAGCAAGTCACGGCAGCCTAGGCGTAGTGCGGTGTCATTGATAAAAAGTTTTAAGACATTCAAAGCAATAACTCAATGTTTGTGCATGCATGTAAATGTCCTGCAAGTGGAAGTTTAGGAATGTGCTTATCTCTGGGGAGAGGAGGGAGGGAAATGTGATCAGAGACAGACATGGAGTTGCAACTGTATCTGCAACGTTTTGTTTCTTTAAAAAATGACCTACAGGGCCGGCCCGGTGGCGCACTCGGTAGAGTGCGGCGGCGCTCCCGCCGAGGGTTCGAATCCCATATAGAGACCGGTCCACTCACTGGCTGAGCACGGTACGGGCGTGACACCGAGGGTTGCGATCCCGTTACCGGTCATGAAAAAAAAAAAAAAGACAAAAAGGAAAAAAATAAAAAAAATAAAAAATGACCTACAGCAAATATTCCAAAAATCCTGAGATTTCTTAAAGTTTGTCGGTGGATGCACAGATGGTCATTACATTGTTGTTATTTAAAGTTTGAAATAGAGCGTAATGGGGGAGAGATGGAGACCTTAAAAGAAAGAGGAAGAGGGAGAAAATCAGAGGTTGAGAATTTAGTTCTTCTCCTAGAAAGCAGGATAATCACAAAACGGGTTTTTGAAGTTAAGGAAGCTGCTGAACAAAAAATCAGAAACATGCAGTGTAGACATATGCCAGTCCCACCTCCACGCACCTCCAGCCGGTGGCCTGTGGGCGCTGCACGGCTCCCTCCATGGCCTCACGAACTCGCCCTGCCCGATCAACCTCAGCCTTCCCTCCTTGCTAATGACTCCTCGTCACCGCCTTTCTTCAGTGTCTCCAGGAGAACTCTGACGTCAAGACCCACAGGCCGTTTATGGCTGTGAGGAGCACTCTCTGCCAATGTAAGGACGATGCCAGCAGGACCTTCACCAGGTAGCATCTTTGGTTTGGGATCCATGAAGGAGAGGATTCTGATCCTCTGGTGTGTGCAGCTGCTTCCGGCCCGCTTCTCTGCCTCAGAACTGACTGCCCTTCTTGGATGCTAGGTTTGGTGTCCAGCCGTGCCCCATCTGCCTGGGAGACGCGCAGGATCCTGTCTGCCTGCCCTGTGACCACGTGTACTGCCTGCACTGCATCAAAACCTGGCTTGCCCCGGGGCAGATGCTATGCCCCTGCTGTTTAACCGACTTACCCGATGGATTCTCTCCCACCGTTTCCCAAGAGCACAGGTAAAATAACCTTTCTCTTAAGAAAGCTTCCTCTCTTTTTTGCCTCCTTTTTTTCAAGGACAGTGTTCAGAAATATAAACTCTGTTAACTCACATTTGGTAGGAAACCTGACTTCAGAGAACTATCGTAAGACAGACTACCACTTATGACCTCCATAAACATCTGGGGTCTCAACTTTATTCTGCCCCCAAGATATACACATATATGGATTTGGGAGACAGCAGATTTAGAGGAAATAAACAAGACAGTCATAAGATAAAGGGAGTCCTCACGAGAGACACAAGGAATTCAGATGCAACTGGTCTGTCCTGCTGATGTGTAAATGCTGTTCACACTCTGACCTGAGGGTGAACCCAGCTCTTGTCCAGCTTTGCAGAGGTGGTTCGAAGGAGTGACGCTCTCTGGGTTTGGTAGGCCTCAGCCCTGCTCCCTGAGTGGTTAGACCACCTCCCTTCTGAGGCATCGTAAAAGTGGGGAATAAGGCAAGCCCTGTGGGTGGGTTCTTTGTCATGCTTGGGGATGCTGGAGGGTATTGCTGGCTGGTGCAAGCGACAAGAGCGTTTCTGGGAAGAGATGAGGCTCAGGACTATCTGTTGCAGTTGTGAAGACCAGTGCTACTCCATGCAAGGAGCCACTTGGACCTATTTAAAAATGACATTCTGGGGCCGGCCCGGTGGCGCACTCGGTAGAGTGCGGCGCTCCCACCAAGGGTTCGGATCCCATATAGAGACCCGTCCGCTCACTGGCTGAGCGCGGTGCGGGCGCAACACCGAGGGTTGCGATCCCGTAGCCGGTCGCGGTACGGGCGCAACACTGAGGGTTGCGATCCCGTTACTGGTCACGAAAAAAG